CACGGAGGTCACAGAGGGACAAAATGGGGGTTGATAAGGTCCTATGAAATTTGCTAGCTAAACAGACACACAAAAGTCACCTTAATGCTGAATCAGACCATGGGTCCATCATATTTTCTTTATATTTCTCTACTCAGACTGGAGGTGGCTCTTCAGGGGTCCTTCTCAACACTTCCGACTTGGTCCTTTTAAACGGAGATGGGGGGGATTGAACCTGGGAGCTTCTAGCATGCAAAGCAGATGCTCTGCCACTGAATCATGGCTCCTCCTCCCCAAAAAGCATAAAGCTGAACCAGCTTTGTTCACTATGATTTCGTGCAGAATGTGTTTGTTCTGAATTTACCAAAACCTCTTGCTGGATCCAGAAGGTTCTGACAAGCCAAAGATCCAGTAAAATGAAGGAACTGAACTCAGCTGTAGAACTATTTCGTAGCTTCTTGAATAAAGAGGACCTGTTTTTAGTTGTCATGGGAATAGTTATTATTCATAAATACAATGGTGAATGTATCAGTTTCTTATTGCATTGCATCTGTACCTCCTGCTTTGGCTTCTCTCTCTCCATTCCACAAGACTCAGAACTAAGGATAAGAGTGGCAGAAAGTATGAGGCATACCATGAGCATGGCTTGTGCCATTTTGCACAGTTTCCAGATGTCTCTCTTGGGACCAATGCTCCCTCTAAGCTGTAGAGTCTTGTGAGCAAAAATTCTACCGTGAGCTACTGGTAGGTATTAAAGTTGTGAGCGAGCGATTTGGCTGCTGCAGAAATTAGTTTGCTCTGGAGCCATCTTTCCTGAGCTAAGGCATAAATGTGTGAGCTGAAGGCTAAAAAAAATGTGCGCTAGCTCACACTAACTCTGCTTAGAGGGAACACTGCTTGGGACCCAAGGGTACCTCTGAATTGTTTGTGATGCTACATGGAAGTTGGAATGCATTCTCAGTTTGCACAAGCTGACCCCTGTATAAGGTAGCTCCCCCCAAAAGTGCCCTCAGGTTGCAGCTGTCTTATGGTGACCCTGTAGGGTTTTCAAGGTAAAAAATGTTCAGAGGTGGTTTGCATCTCTACATTGTGGACCTCAGTTCCTTGGTGGTTTCCCATCCAAATTCTAACCAGGGCTGACCCTGCATAGCTTCCATGATCTGACAAGATCAGGTGTAGTTAAAACAAAGGCTTTAGACTAAGCCCAGTGTTAGCCCTGTTGCCTTGCTAAGCATGGATTTTAAGGAAAACTGCTCCAAAGGACAGGGGGTTTTCCCTTCAAGGAGACCTATTTAGGATTAAGAGTGCTAGGTTGCAGCTTTCAACATACTTATTAGGAAGGAAGGAGGCATCCATGGAAAACAATAGACTGTTTTCCAAGCAAAGGAAATTAGATTTGAGATGGTACACCTACATCCCATTTCTATTCAAAATAAGGCCAGGATCAGACACTGAGAGGCCCAAGTTCTGCAGTTTGTATGATGGGCTTGGTGTGTGTCCTGTCTTTCCACAGTCTGCATAAGGTGTTGTATATGCTTTGGAGACTGGCAAACATGTTGGCCTGAAAAGGAGAGATCATGAGAATCATCTGATCAAATGCAGGGCCGGCCCACCATAGACAAAATTTAGGCCGTGGCCTAGGGCGCAGTCTCAATGAGGGCGCGGCGCTGGCCGGCCTGCCGCCCCTCCCCCACCTCCCCTCTCCTCCTGCTTGGGGAGGGGCTCTTGGAGGAAGAAGTAACTGTGCTGTCGCTAGCATCCCCCCTTCCCTCGAGGAGCATAGGCTTTTTTGCCGCCTTCTGCAAGGAGCTGAGGCGAGGGGTGCCTGGGCTGTGCACTCGTAGGTGCAGGACCTTGAAGTTCTCCTTCGAAATGCAGCGCACAGCCCCAGCACAGCTAGGCAAACCTCTCCCATCTGCACCTCTTTGGGTAGTTGGATCTGGCTCGGGCAGGCGCTGGGTGCGACTCCCTCACTGTGCCGCGGCTGCCCTCTGACTGGCTTGCTGACGGGCTGGTGACACCAAAGCAGGGAATCCTCCTGATTAGAAGCCCGAGTGCTGCCAGTTGCTTCGGTGCTCTTTGTTCTGCCTTCAGAGGACAACAAAGTGGACTGTCCTCCGGACAAGTCTGGGCGAGTGGAGCGGGGCGCAGGTGGGAGCATCTCGAGCGCCTCTGAAGCTTGAACGCCAAGATTCCGCACGGTCCCCATTTTCATTCCAGGGGCTCCGCACAGCCTGGCTAGGTGCATGGGGGTGGTGGTGCCACAAGGTAGCCTCACCTAGTGTGCAAACAAACCTGGGGCCGGCCCTGATCACATGGAATGCCTGGTTCACACATCCTTACATAGCAGTGGGGCAGGAACCATGCCTTGGCCTCCCAGCTGTGAGTCATAAGATGCTCCTGCTGAGTCTGAACCAGATCCTCATCTCACCAAAGTTGCTCAGATTTTGGAGTTAGGGCTGCAGGGAAACAAAGTGAGGGAAAACTACTCAAGTGAGTTCTCCTGATGCGTAGCTGCTTGCGGAAATCTATATTCTAATTTTCATAATTTGATATTCCCAATTATGGTTGCTTTGAGATTTGAGGTTTTTGGAAAGGAAGAGGTGGGGGGGGGGAGTGCTAGAGACCCTGACTGTCAATCAGCTTCTCCTGTTGAGCCCTAATAATGTAGTCCTAAACAGAATTACTCTTTTGAGAGCCACTGTGGTGTAGTGGTTAAGAGTGTCAGACTAGTATCCCAGAGACCAATCACGCTTTCTCAGCCTAACCTACCTCACAGTGTTGTTGTGAGGATAAAATGGAGGAGTAGAGAATGACGCGAGCCACTTTGAGTCTCCATTGGGGAGAAAGACTGGGTACAAATGAATTAAATAGTAATGATTTCAAGGGCCTTAGACAACACTAACTTTGCATAGGATTGCACTGTAAATCTCATTGGATTTAAAGGTACTTGCTCTCATGCATGCCTAAGTCTTCATTCAGTAAGAAGTATCCCTGAAGGCTGAACCTCAAAAAAGAAGTTGGAGACCAAATTCTGAATGTTTGCCAATTACAAGGCATGTTTTTGTGAACTTTCACTTCAGCCATACTTATGGTCCATCATGAACAATCATGGGGAACGCTCAGTGATTTTGACAGATCTTACCTCCACGCAAGCAAGCCCAGTATTCTAGTTTAGTGAATCTCATAGACCTGAACTTGATTCTGGCTCAGGTTAGCTTTAACAAATGCATCTTCTGTTTGCTGAATTTGGTCCATCCTGTGTTCAGCCAAGAAGGCAGGGAAAATGACGCATATATGTTGTTTAGAGCTACCAAATCTGACTATATCCCTGCCCTTGTTTAAATAAACAGTGCTATTAAATTCCTCAACTGCTTGCTCTTTTCCTCATTGGCCCCACTGTTGCCTGCTAAATTCAACAGGACTTAAGGACTAAGGGAGTGCAAGTCATGTACCTGTACAGGTGGCTATACCAAGGAGCAGGAAGTATTCTAGTACTACAGATGTGGCTGATGAATAAGCTGCAGGAAATTATCTTGTACAATGGGAACATCATGGCATTCTACATTTTCAACCAGGAGCAAGCAGGTCAAGGGGAGTGGTTTGCAGAATTCCCAAGAGAAATGTGTTAAGCCCCTGCAGTTACTTACCAGGGTTGGTACCATTCCTCATTAGAAGCTTCCAAGATTTTGGAGAATAATTTGAGACTGTAACCTACTCGAAAAGTGTAAGCACACAACAGCAATACCTTGTTGTGGTCATGTATGAGACGCTGGATACAACCCAGCCAGAAACCGTGAAGCACAAACCCAATAGGTATGAATGAGACTGGCCGGATAGGGCTACACCTCTCTTTTGTTTCAGTGGGTCTCCAGCATGAGAACTACCTGCAGCATTTTTGTTTCTGTTATAAACTTACCATGAGCATTCTGAAGGAAAAGGCCTTTAAAACTGTTTTAAGTTAAGGGAAACAGTACCACATCCATACCCCAAGTGGTCTTATCCAAATAAGAAGATTGTAGATTGGGTCTGTGGAGTTCGAAGGAACCTAAATTTCATACAAATGTGATCTGAAGACATTAATGGCTGCTTAACTCAATAATGTGAGACTTGTTTCCAAATAAACACACATAGAGGACGGGTTTGTAAATGTCCTTGGGATTGTACTGCTTATGTATGAAATAAAGTTCAATAAATTCAGTGGGACTTGTTCTGGCTGTTATGTGCTGGTGTTTTCCGGCGGAAGGAGTGGGACTCCCTTCAAGACTGCCAAGTACCCTGGATTGATCAAAGCCAGATTCCTTCCTTTCTTCAGGTTCTGGGACCACTTACACACAAAACACACATATGTACACACACACATATATAAATCTAGTAAGGTGACCACCCATGCCAGGTTTATAAGCTCTTTCACAAGTGGTGAACACGAAACAGCTCACGTCAGAGTGTTTTAAAGCTTGTATCTCAGTCTTTCGTTTGAGCTGCAGGGCAAAAGGGTCATCCTTTGGGTATAGGTAGGATATTGGGGAGGTGGGGTATGCTTTAATTGCTTTCTTTTTCCCCATTAGAATCTCTCATTAGCCCAAAAACATTGGCAACGAACAACAGCAATAAGAAAAAGGCATTCCAGGCTCAATTCCCTGAGATTTGGTACTTTTGCGGTGAAGAGAAGTGTTGGTTGAAAAGTGTTGGCTACACGGCACCTACTGCAGCGTGGAAGAAGAGAAGCAAAACAAAAATTTAAAAAATCAACCCCCTTCACTCCCTTGTCCCCACAAACAGTGGGTTGCTCACAGTGCATTTTGTACAAACAGGCAGCAAAGGGGTGGAGTGTGGTGGCAGCAGGTGCAGAGGGAAGTCCATCCTAGTGCACAAGTGGGAAGAAGGAGAGCCACCATCTTGCCCCATGTGTGGGTGGACTAGTGGTCTTTGCTGCCACTGGGCTAGTATGCACAAGCCCCTCCTTCGGCAAGGAGGGCACGGATCTCCAGCTGCTCAGTCTTTCATCCCATTGGCTGTCGCTATGCAGTGGGTGGCGCTAGGCCAGTTGTGCCCAACACACCTCCATTGGGGCCCGAACTGGTTGTCCCTGGCTGCATAGAGGAGACCGGGCTCATGGGTTCCGATCCGCTGTGCACTCCACCTGGCTGAGATTGCTGCAACTTCTTCTTGTTGATCTTTCTCTCCTTTGCCCTCCTGTTCTGAAACCAGATTTTTACCTGGAGAATAGAAAGACAAAGTGGACGCAGGTAAATTAAAAGGCTGGAGTAGCTGGGGGTTCTGGATGTGAGTGCATGACGCAGAAGTTGCAGCTGAAGCTGTAACCACGGGTACCTTTAAGGAGGGCTTTTGGAATACAGAAGAACACATTTATGGGACTGGCACAGAATAAGGGTCCCCAACATGGGGGGTGCCATTGCACCCATGAGCACCAACACCTTTCCTAGTGCCTGCCAAGAAGGAGGAGATTGCATTTATGCCCCGCCCTTCACTCAGAGTCTCAGAGCGGCTTACAAACTCCTTTCCCTTCCCTTCCCCACAACAGACACCCTGTGAGGTAGGTGGGGCTGAGAGAGAGAGCTCTGACAGAGACTGCTCTTTTTCAAGAACAGCTGTGCCAGAACTATGGCTTGCCCAAAGTCATCCAGCAGCTGCAAGTGGAGGAGTGGGGAATCAAACCCAGTTCTCCTAGATTAGAGTCCATGCACTTAACCACTACACCAAACTGGCTCACCAAGTGCTTTTAGAAAGTAGGCAGGGCCAGGTGGGGCATTTGCTCAGCAGGGCTTTTGATTGGCTGTGCAGATTAAAAGGCATCCTGTTAAACAGAGTTTCCACACTTCAGGCAGAAAAAGTACTCTTACAGCTCTATATAACCTTGCTTCTTGACATTTTGTGCCTGGCTCTGCCTCCTGTGGCAGCCATTTTGTGACTGTGCCCAACATCCTTTGTCAGAATTCCAAAGGTGCCCACAGGCTCAAAAAGGCCCGGGACCTCTGGCATAGAAGTAGACCTCATAAGGAATTGGGTAGCCAACAGACCTAGAAAAGAATGACCTGCTCCTTTTATAGCGGGTTAATGTATGGAAATAGGCACCTGATGCCTTCCTAGCACAGAAGCAAGTCACATCACCTGGTGAATAACATCCTACTAAACCTCTGTTACAGGTACAGGACATTTTTCTTCCTCTGGGCACTTTATCTCATCCAGGTGTGTGTGGGGGAGGGGGAATATACCCATTCCTGATCAGGTGTGTCCATATTCCTCTTAAACATGTGTTCAACTTTGAAGAGACTGATGTTTCACTAGAACTATAAGCCAGAAGTTCTTCGTGGATTGGGCTATCAAAGGAACACCAGAAGGACTGCAGCCAATTTATGGCAATCCTAACATTTAACCGGCATCTTGCTTATTGTTATTTACTATTTTCAGGAACTGGCTTGTAAGGGAGGCTAGTTAATGGTTAGAATTCACACCAGCAAGCTGCATGTCAGGTTGGATTTGGAATGGTTTGCTTCTAGCAAGTATGTTGTCACAGCAACATTTTTAAAAAATGGTCATGAAAGGGCATGTGTATATGGAAGGGGGGAAAGGCCATAACATAAGGATCTGGGGGGGAAATGTCATTGGTTTATGTCCAAATTCTATCAATCAAAGGCTGGAGCACTTTAAAAATTAGCAGATTTCTTGTAGTTTTAATTCCCAGACCGTATTCTATAAATCAGTGCAGCCATCCCGGTGCTGCCTCTTGCTTATGCAAGTGGCAGAAAAAAGCAGTCCCATTACTCATGTGGGAGACTGACTCTGAGCTCATTAATTTCCGGGAACCTCAAGGACACCTGGAATAGGGGTGGAACACAGTGAGAAATGCAGGCAATGTGGACTTTGGAAACTAAGGTGGGGGGTGTTGCAATAACCACAGGGAACTTGATTGGTAGCCTGGAACATCTCCTGACCTCTGATAAGTAAAATGGAATAAATACATTGCACGTGTTGGTATACAAAGGTGGCCAGCAACCCAATGCATAAACCAGGTAAACTAGTGCACTTGGGCTTGAACCGTTCATACCATAAACCTAAGCCAGGATGCCTAGAGTTTGTCTAAATCTATGGCACTTAAAGGAGGTATCAGTCCAAAATCTCTTCTTTTTTTACCGTTTTTACCATTATTATGAGAGGTTCAAAGCGGTTCACATATCTTATTTCAGTAACCCCATCTATAATCTTGCAATGCAACTAAGTTTTATTTTCATCCCTCATATTACAAATTACACTATTATGACTCTTCCG